ATTAAACACACTGTCATAGGTAAAAAGACTCAAGGAATTGGAAAAATAGCTCATGTTTATAGATTGGAAGAGTAAACATTGTTCAGATGCTCAAATTACCTAAAACAATTTGTAGATTCAACATAACATATATCAAACCCCAGTGACATTTTTTCAAGGAAATATGACAATTATAAAATAATGTTTGAACCACAAGAGACCCTGAATAACCAGAACAATCCTGGGAGAAAAGAAAAATGAAGGTATTATACTTTTTGAATTTAAATTATACTATCCAGTGATAGTGATCAAAACTGTATGGTATTGGGAAAAAAACAGAAACAGAGAGCCCAGAAGTAACCCATACTGTATTTGACAAAGGAGCTATGACCATTCAGTAGAGGAAGGAAAGTTTCATCAACAAATGGTGTTGGGAAACTTGGCCAGCTACATGCAAAGAAAAAAGAAAAGAAATTAAACTAGATCTTAACTCCATACACAAAAATTAATTTAAAATGATTGAAAGAATAGAGGTGGTACATTTCTGGACATCAACCACAGGGATGTATTTTGGTGCACAACTCCAACAGCAAGGGAACCAAAGGCAAAAATAAACAAATGGAAATACATCAAACTAAAAAGCTTGTGTATCATGAAAGAAACCGCCACAACATCAAAAAGACAGTCCATGCACTAGGAGAAGATATTTGCACTTCACATGGCTCACAAGGTTAATTTCCAAAATATATAAAAAACTGATACTGTTACAGGTCAGGGAAAGAGGGACACCCCTGAAGCCCCAAACCTGCCTGCTCTAAATGGGTTCTGCCATCCACTGCATCAAGATAAAACATATAAAACTTCAATGAAAAGGGACTTTAATACAGTAAATATACAATACAGAAGACAAAGAATGTAATGTCTAAATCAAACACCCTGAAGCTACCCATCTCCTCGTGGGCAAAAGTCAGCCCAAAGCAAGGCCTGAAAGCCCATCACAAGACTAAAGCACCTTCTGGTCAGGACTCATGGAAAAGGGTCAGAAATGACCAGACAAATCTGGGAGGAAAAGAGCAAAATCAAAATCAATATAAACACTGCCATAGTCACCTCCCTACAGTTATCTCACCCACATCTGCCTTAACCAGTCCAGGGTCAGGAAACAAACACGGTTTCTTCATGACATGCTTGCTGCTCCATGTGGCTTCCCCAGCTCTCCTTGTTCTCCATCCAGCTTCCTTTTATTCTTCTTTTTCTCTGCTCAGCTCCACCCTCCTTCTCCTTTTCCTAGGGACCATCCTGTTACAATACAACTCAACAAAAATAACCCAATCAAAAAATGTGTTAAAGACCTTAATAGACACTTCTCCAATGAAGACATACAGATGGCATATAGGTGCACACACCCAAAAAATGTTCATCATCACTTTTATTATAAGGAAAATGCAACTCAAAACCACAATGAGAGATGACCTCACCCCTGTGAGAATGGTCTATATGAAAAAGTGAGAATATGAAGAAAAAAAGGATACTCGTTACCCACTGTTGGTGGGGATATAGCTCTTGGTGCAGCCTCTGTTTAAAATGGTATGGAGATTTTACAAAAAAGGAAGCAAAAATTACCACGTGATTCAGTATTACCACTGCCAGGTATTTACCCAAAGAATAAAGAAAAAAGATCTGTTCATTTCTATGTTCATTACAGCATTCTTCATGATAGCCAAGTCCTGGAATAAAACTAAATAAAACCACATGTGTGGGCAACTAATTTAAAGGAGCTGAGCAGGTACTGTGGGAAAAAGGAAAGTTTCTTTATAAGCTGTTAGGTGGTGATGCTGCTGAACTGTGGACTAGATAGTAGGGGATGTTCTGTGAATGTTACCAATCTAAAGAGCCACCTGGAGCCAGGGGAATTGACTAGCATTTTATAGGAAGATGGTGGTTTGGTGGGAAAGGGACAAATAACCAACCTGTTTAAGACTTCTGAGTATCTGATATTTGTGGCGGACAGGTGGCCAAGTTGAGAGTTATATAATTATGTTCTTTGCACCTGAGAAAATGCAGCAGTCAACCTCTAATCAGTTTTCTTTGTGACGTTTTCCCTTCCCCTCGGCCTGGTGTTTTTGGTTTAATGTCTTTGAAATGTGGATCTGGGTATGTCCATTGGCTTGACTGGGAGCTTTGTGAAATAAATCCTTGGAGAGGAGTGATTGACAAAACAACATTGAGTAACATTGAGTGTGGGTTTTAAGAGTTGAATATGGGGGCCCTCCCTGGTGGCGCAGCGGGTTAAAGCACTGCACTAAGAAACTTAAGCCACTTCCGCATGAGTTCGATCCCTGCCTGCCCCGGAGGTGACCACATGGTGACCACATGGTGTGGCAGACCTCTCCTGACCCGCCCGTTGCTCCCCTCAGCAGTGTACTTTGTAGATCTGCCTGTTCTGCTTCCCACTCTGTCTCTGGTGAATCCTCTCACCCTCCGCATCTCTGGCCTGTACCCCAGTTCTGTATGAATAAATAAATCTTTAAAAAAAAAAAAAGAGTTGGATATGGTCTTAGTAATCTACCTCGCCCTTTACAGCCTGCAAATGATCTACCCAAGCTTGGGACAGATTCAGTGTTTCAGACTAGTTCAGTGGTTGGCTGCAGATGAATAAACTCATTGAGGGAACACATAAAGATGTCTTTCCAGATGGTATAGGTTATGGATATAGTTTGCAGGTTTCTTTGTTTTTTCACTAGAAATAGAAGACTAGTTTGAATGTAACTTAAATAATCTTTAGGTTCAGGAGGCAAATACTAAAGCCAAATCATATTTTACTCAGTATTTGTAATGCCCCATGTATACTGTAATGGTCCTCTAAGCCATAGGTCTATTCTCAGTATCAATCTCCCAGTTGAGCTGGTTTTTTTCTGAGTCACTGAAGGCTTTACTGTCCTACACTTTAACCAACATTTAGTCACCCATCATCTCTTAGTACTTCCAGTCTCCCAGGAGAAAGGTAATGAATCACTTGGGCACCTTGAATCCCTCACAATCCCACAGAAGTCAGTTTCTAATCTATTTTCTTAATCATTCTATTGGAGAAACTAAGGCATTTATAGTAGGATGTTTGGCACTATCTCATGCAGAGATACTCCTAGACCAGTTATCTGGATCCTTCAAGTTTTACTTTCAGTTCAGCTTCTTTGAACATTTAGTTGTTTCTTTGTTTTGACATGTATTTTTGAAGACATTGTTCACCTACCTCCTGATTTCAAGTGAATAATCTTTCTTAGATGCTTATTAGGTATTTTTCAAGTGTCTACTTGCTCGCTCTCTTTAAGCATCTGAGTGGTTTGTTAGTTTGTCAGAATACTTGCTTTCTATCCTATTAGAGAAAATTCTGTTCAGTTCCACAAGTACTCATTGAACACTTAATGTGTGCCCAGCTTTGTGTTATTTAAGCAAGCAGAAAAATATACACGAAGACTAGAAACAGAAATGGGCCCCCTGTGTTTTGGGACAGTGGACAGACTTACTTGGCACAATGAAAGTTCAAGTTGGAAAAGAAGTAAAGAGTTTTTATAGGTAGCATGAAACTTGTGTTTTCTTTGTGAAATATGTTCCTTAATTGTTCATGTACTATCCACTTGGGCCTTTCCATTTCTTAGGTCTGCTTATTCCCTCCCTGAGAGGACCTTTGTCCTTCTGGGAGTTGAAGACCTGTTAGGGCACTTTAGGCAATGTGTGAAGTAGGAAAAGAGGATGGTTGACTTCATAGCCTTGATTAGCTTGGTGAAGTTTGTGAATTTTTTTTTTTTTTAAACGTGACTAGGATATGTAGAAACCTGAAATCCTTCCTTAAATAGTGATCAACATTCCTAGTACACTTGTGCAGGGATGTCTTGTAAATTTGACTCAGTAATGTGATGTTTAGCTGATTTTACTTTAAAGATTACTGTTAAAGTGCATTTTTGAAATTATCATAAGATGATGGGAAACTAAGTCTGGATAACAAGAACTAAAGGGTATTAATTAAGTTCAGGAGTTCTGAGGCCTTGTCTCTCTTTTACAAATCATGGAACAGTTTTAGCTCAGTTTAATTGAGTGACTTATGCATGCTTCTGTATTCTAGATTTTCAACTGGAGGCTTTTTTTTTTTTTTTTTTGGACAGTTGGAATTTTTGACAATCTCTGTAGACATTTTTAATTGTTGCATCTTGGGGCTATGCTACTATCATCTAGTGGGCAGAGGCTGGGGATGCTGCTAAATATTCCACAATGGATAGCCCCCTCCCATCCAACAAAGAATTGACAGCTCATATATCAGTAGTTTCATGGGTAAGAAACCTTGCTCTAAAAAGACTAACATATAGAACCAGAACTTTGAGGTTGGAAGGCCAAACTGCTAGTTAATGGCAGAGCAGGGTTTCCAGCTCATTGCACCCTAGTCTAATGTTCTTCCTGCAATTGGGCTCCATTAGAGTATAATACCATTACACTACAGACTGTTTTCTCTAACTTCATTAATCCTGCTTCATATTTTTTGTTCTAGCCATATTGAATTTGTATACTATGTAACTTTATTTCTTCGTGTTCATAATATATTCCCTTTGCCTGGAATACAGTTCTCTCGTTTCTTTATTTGGATGATATTTCACATCTCTTTCAGGAAGTCCTCACTAGTCTATCACACTACAGATTGGATTAGAAATCATTTCTTTATTCTTCCATAGCTAGTCTTCAGCATACAATAAGGAATTTTCCTATATGTATGTCTGCTTTGAGAGTTTGGTTGACTTTTCTATCTTCATTGCTTAGCACAGATATGCTATAGTCATAGGCATGAGTCAGATTAAGTAGTTAAAGAAGGGAGAGATCAATGAGAAACAGTATTAGGAAAAACTTTGTAGAGAGCGTGACACTTGAAGCTTCTTATAATTCTTTAAAAATATTGATGAATGTGTGAACACCTTATATTGGGCAGAGGCAATTCTAAAGCTGTAATGGATTTCTCTGGTGGTGTTTTTCTACAGGTTGATATGTCAGACCTCTCGCCAGAGGAACAATGGAGGTAAGTATGACAGCACGTACCCTTGGGCTGGGGAACTATATATTAACCCAATTAATAATGTTGTATGTTTATCCTGTTTGCTTCCTTGATTGTGGAAGGCAGTGGTTAATGACCAGTAGGACAGGTTTTTGGGGTATATTTTACTGTATCTGGGTCATTCCTGGTTGCCTCTCAGTACTCGGAGAGTAAATAGGTAATTGTGCCAAACTTTCCTCTGAGTTTGAATGCCAGTTCTGCCATTCCTAGCTATGTGATCTTGAGCAAATTACTTAATATCTGTTTTAACCTTAGCGTTCCCCATTTGTAAAATGAGGATTATAATATATCTTTTACAGTTGTTGTGAGGATTAATATCTGTGAAACTCTTAGAATATCACCTGGCATGTAGTAAACATCCAGTAAGTGTTGCTCACTTGGAAGATGGTGTCATTGACATCATTATCTTTATCTATAAAATAATGCAGAGAGCTCTGATTGAGAAAATAAATGTTTTTTCTCATCTCATCTTTGCTACTGGCTTTGCTGGACTAAAGTGAACTGAGTTGTACTTAGCAGAATTAGTCAACAAGTACCTTCTTGTCATGCTTTCTCTTAAGTAAAGGAGTTTTAGAGTACCACAGTCTTCCTAAGGTGGCTGACCATTGAGCTGAACACAATCAAGTAAAATTTATAGTGAGAAAGAAACCTTTCATTTATACTAGAACTACTGACTATAAAAATGTTGATTCTAAAATTATAGAGTCAACTCACATGACAAACCCAGTGATATTTTAGACGACTTTAAGCTTAATGTGTACCATGTGTGTACATATTACACAGACACCAAAATACTTAAATGTTCATATCTGTCTCGCAATCAAGGGAGGTGGTAGTGTCACTTTGCTCTTGTTTCAGTGAGGCTATGCTGATTTTGTTGTAAACACTGCATATTAAGATGCTTAGATAACTTCCAGAAGAAGGCAGCTGGGGCTAATGGTGTCCACATTATGTTACATCACTAGTGGTTAGAAGATTTAGAACTGTTAGCTTAAAAGGACACAAGAGGCCCTCCCTGGTGGCGCAGCGGGTTAAAGCACAGCACTGAGAATCTAAAGCCGCTTCCACATGAGTTCGATCCCCGGCTGCCCCGGAG